TGAAGCTCATGAAGGATTGAAATGCAGTCTATACATACATACATACATATATATATATATATATATATATATATATATATATATATATATATATATATATATAAATTTTAGATATTTATCAAACTGACAGCGTCTAAGAATTGGAATGAAACCTGTCGTGTAATTTATTGGGGTTGTTGGAACGTCTCCCTTTAAGGTAGTTCTTATCGTTCACCCCTTAGCCACCTTTATCTAGAGACGAGACGCGTTAAATTTAACATCTAGCCGACACACTGGGGTTAAAATAGGAAACTAAAATGATACATATGACACACTCACATCCTCTCTCCCTCACTTCCTCTTCGTTAACTTTGCGTATACTTGATGAGGTCCGTCAAAAACGTGTAAATTTCTTTTCATTTTTCATTTTTTTGGAAGTAAAGTCTGTTGATCCAGAACCCTGTTAAAGGGGTTATGGTGAAATAACAATACATGGAATCTTAACGTGGTCTGTCTTTTATTCAAACATATCTGAATCTTACATTGAGCTCTCTGGATATCATCCTCCTCAGGTCTACCCATACGGATTACCTAAATTTGCATAAACTATAAATATATATATATATATATATATATATATATATATATATATATATATATATATATTCAGGATCATTTTCCAGCAACTTGTTCAACATGATCTTCTACAGCTCTAATCTTCTAAGTTTCTGTCGTGGGGTATCAAGGTGCCTCACATGTTTCATGTACGATTTCATTTTCATATCTTTTTTTTTCACTGCTCTTTGAACTGTCATAGCTGAAACTTCTCTCTTACGTGCCAGACATCTTATGGATTAAGTTGGATCTTTTCTAATTGATATCTTTAGATCTAAGTTGAAATGAAGATCCCTCTCCCCGTTGTGACTTCCTTATCCAGTTCTCTCTACTGTTTCCTTTTTTAAAACTTATTATCCGTTCTCCTGATGGTTCTAGAATGGACTTTGAAGATGAAAGCCAGAATATGAAGGTTGGTACCATTGCTGGAAGCCAAAAATATGTCAAACCTTTTGACTATCACTCGAAACGAACTTATGTGTACCTTTTTCACTCTCATACAAAACCGAAAATATGTCTAATTCTTGACAGTTATAAAAAGTCAGCCTGTGTCTACATGTTGTCTCTTGTGCAAAACAAAAACATATAAATCGCTTTGACACTCGTGCAAAACGCAATTATGTCTGACTTGTTGATATTCGGAAAAACCGAATTCATGTCTATCATCTTCCTGCTTCTTGGCGTCGAAGTCAACATTGATCGTCAAAAATTTAAATACAGTGTCAATCGTTATCGTCTAACTTCTTAATTTTCATTCCTTTATTCTCTTCTATTCTCTGACAATCAGTGACCTAGTGGATTTATTGCCTTGCTTGGGGTGAAATGATCAAAGAAATGTATCGATAGTTTATGAAAATGAGAGAATCCGTCACGAAAAACCTGGAAGAAAAAAATTGATGTGCTGTCAACCAATCAAAACTTGCCTTGTTAAATTTTCCATTTGGCAAATATTGCTTATTTATATTGAGCACGATGGAATACTGGATAGCGTTTCGGACTGAGGAATCGAAGAGCCGAGTTCGAAATCCAGTCGAGTCCATTACATTCACTTACGTGCTAATACCTTTCGGAAAGGTATCAATCCTCCTCATCTCCCTCCATAGATCGGGTTCTATAGCTTTGGATGGCAACTGGTCTACAGAAAGAAAGGGTAACCTATTGAGGAGAAAAATCTGCCTCGTCAGTCATGTAACGAATGATACATGATCGCCCAAGCGTGTATCATGCATGGGACATAACTGACTGATATTGGAACAGGTAGGTAAATATAAGTCTTTGTATATTTTTGTACTTAAATATTAGTTGTTTATACACGAAACTATCAATAAGTAATTAATCACTGGCGTCTTATAGAAAGAATCAACAGGCAAGTTCAGTAATTTTCATTATTTGGTGCTGTTTATTCTACAAGTAAAACAAAATTCAGTCCCGGGATTGACGATGAACAGCATCTGGCAGTAATTCATCTGATCGGGAGATTGGAGGTGTTGAGGAGCGTGGAAACACCTCTTAATTGCTGTTGGTCTCAGGTTTGCCCTGGCCCGGGGTGGTAGCACCCGTTAGGGTCCCAGCTATAGGCAAATAGGGAACCCCCAAAAAGCACTAAAAAAGTATAAAAAAAATACCTATTTCTAGTAAAATTAATAACAATACATTTTATAGCAAAATGACAAATAATACATTTAATCTGTAGTTGAACGCATACAGTTGCATTCAAGATATATTAAGATTTCGGCATTAAATATCCCATAGAAGTGTTGATATACCACTAAACAAAGTCCATCAACCAACCAACTAACGTAAAAGAATACTTTCATAGCATTAATCCATATAATATCCTACAATTTCTTAAATCAAACTGTATTCCAAAATATAACTTCAACAAAAGTACAACATAAAACGCACCTATCACCCCCTCTCGTAATCATATCAACACAAACATATATATGCATAAAATATGAGTATCATCTACCATGTATTTAATTGTGAAAGCATAATAGCATATCTTTTTATTTCTTCAAAGCTTTCAATAAATTTAAAGTTCGGATTTAAATGACCCATATTAGAACTGATATGCCGTTAAACTAACAAATTAAATCAAATCACAAAAGCTGTGTATTATCTACCATGTATTCGATTGTGAAAGCAAAATAACATATCATATTTTTATTACTTCAAAGCTTCCAAGAAAATTAAATTTCAGCATTAAATGCCCCATAACGAGTTGGTATGCCGTTAAACAAATAAATCAATCATACGAAAAGTTCCCCTTAAATCAACTTGGAGAAAGTATTTGATCTTTTCAAAGAGCTTATGTTATTAGTTGAAGAATAAAAGCTAGTGTTTAAAATCGGTCCCATTTGTTGGAACACCCTATATTCTTTCAGACGAAATAATATTTTTTCGGATATAAATCAGATAGGCGAAGACCAAGAAAAAACAAAAATATTCGTTGTATTTTAATTAGTTGCTAGTAGTGTATATTCTTTTTAATTTTATAATTATGAAAAAAAATCGCTTAATTTTCCTCTCTGTGGTATTCTTTACTACATCATAAAGTCAGTTTACGAACCAGTAACAAACTTTTACCACACACTTTTAGTATGTTTTTGTGTATTTACTATGTAGTTGGACGATGTCGCCTGTGAAAACAGGCTTTTGAATATTTAGTATATAGGTGTGTGATATCGCCCGTGAAAGTAGGCGATGGCGAAAAAAAAAGATTAGAAACACCTAGTCTAGCATATATTTGAGCATATACTAGAGATTTTAATGAATAAAAGATCGGGTCAGTATTCGGGCTCTTGCAAGGCTGTTCAGAGATAGGGTTACGCTTACGTTTAAGCGTATTACCATTTCTATATTTTCTCTGCATTTAATACAAGTTTCGCATTAAATTTTTCGTCCAGAAGATGATTGAACATATGTTAAGCTTATAGTATCAGTTAATGCTAAAGTTAGGATATGGGCTCCTGCTAAAGAGAGGGTTAAAATAAGGGTAAGTTTTATGCTTACGGCTATCACAATTTCTAACATTTTCTCCGCATTTAACACCATTTTTGCTTTCATTTCATCGCCATCGTCGTTAACTTGCAAGAAAAGTATGCTAATCCCACGTACGCCTGTGATTATCCCTAGCCGGATACTGAGCCAGATATAGCCTGGAATTCTGAGCCTGGAGTCACCAAATTTTGCTGGATCGGATTTGAGATATATCGATCATGTAATATTAAAAAGAGTTTCTTATAGCTACTGCCAGGTAGAAAGGAATCATAAAAAAAATTATTGAAAGAACATCCCTTTCAAAATTTAAGAAATAATGTCAATCCTTCATCGAAAAGATTCGAATAGCTAAAAAGATGTTTTCGTGTTGTGATTCGATTGAGGAGCAAGCGCACTTACAAATATCAGTATTAAAAAAAAAGAAGAAAAAACATGGAGAAAGAGTAAACAGAGGGATTTGGATGGACTTGGCGTGCAGTTGAGTTGAAAGCGGGCTTTATCACGCGAACCGGATGGATAATATAGTGTTAATCAATTCATGACAATTTAGAAGATTCCCAAAAACAAAATAAAGAGATTTTTTTTTTTAACTTCTTTCTTTCGTTCTTTCTCTCCTCGATTTTTTTTTTTTTTGCTTTTATTTCTTTTTTAACCACAAAATTAGTCCTGTTTATTTTCAGGCCTTCTAGTTGAGAAAGCGAAAATGTTCTCATGGGTAGTTCACATTGAGCTTGTTGCATTGAGATGTTTGTCTATGATTATGTCTGTGACGTATTTCATTCATTATCATTTTGGTTTCTTTTTTTAAAACCAATTTCAAATCAGTTTAACACTGGTAAGATACAGGATTTATATCCTCCACACACAAAAAATTATATCACAGCGGCATACATTAATTATTTTTATTTAATACATAAATATTTGGATATATGTTTATGCCGTGTAGAGCAAATTGTATTTATAAATTATCATATATAGATAGATAGATAGATATGAACATAGATAGATAGTATATTAAGAAATGGACAAAGTCCGACAATTTATTTATTAAAGACATTTTTATGTTTAACGTTCTTTTTTATAGATACAAGTATTTAAGGAAATGCTCTGTTTATAATAAACAGTATTAAATAACATTTACCGGCCTGAATGTCCGAGAAATTTTCATAAAAAATATTCGTTCTTTGACAGGATTCGAACCTGCATCCTAAACGGAACCGTCATTTACGCTGACGTGCCTAACCTCTCGGCCACAAAGAAGCGTTCGGTAGACAAGGTCGAATTTACTGCTTATAAACTTCAATCTTCCATGAATCTCGTACATTTATAACTGCTCTGGCGTATCAAATGTAAACAAATGATGTCATATATAAAGAAATGGACAAAGTCCGACAATTTATTTATTATAGATAGATAGATAGATAGATAGATAGATAGATAGATAGATAGATAGATATGTGACATATATACACTCTGTCACAGAGAGATATATGTATTCTGGGAAATCTCCTGACCGATGAAGAAGTGCCTTGAGGCAACATGAATGTGGTTCTACAGAAGGATGCTGAGAATACCATAGTGAGCAACGTGGAAGTTTGAAGGTAGTGGGAAACAAAAATGAAGCTTATACTTAGCATCAGAGAAAACAGCTGGAATTTCTAGGACATATAATGAGGAAAGAGGGTTTGGTGAATTTGACACTCACAGAATATATTGATGGCAAGAGGGACAGAGGAAAAAACGGGGAAAAACCTACCGAATGAGCTGTGTAAATTGATGGCCGAAAAGGAATTAGGAGGGAAAGCAAAAAAAAAAAACAAGGACTGGAAATTGTGGAGAGCTATAATCACAGACGCCCGGAAGGAATATGGAAGAAAGAGAAAGAAAGAGTCTTGGATTAAGAGAGAGGATACACAGAGAGAGACTAAAAAGACAGTGGGACAAAGCGTAATATATACATATATATATATATATATATATATATATATGGTGGACTTTAGCGTCGGATTCGATGTATGAGGGTCAAGCAGTTCAGTTCGTAGGAACCGACAGCCAGATACCAGCACGTATGATTTGATTATAGTGGTGAAGGCTTTGTGCAGAACCAACCACACTTTTTGAAAGGCCGAATACAGAGACCTGGTGCACTACATGCCTCAATGTCCCCAAATGACCCTCCACAGGTTTTGAATACAGAGTTGTCCTTCTCCTAGACCAGTTGCCATCCAAGTCTGTCATGCTATATGCTCATAGCTGGAAGAAGAAGAATAGGATTAATACCTTTCCCAAGGGTATTAACACATAAGTGAATCTAATGGATTCGACTGGAATTCGAACTCGGCTCTCCGATTCCTCAATCTGAGCCGCTATCCACTACTCCACCGTACCTTAAAAACTGTGGGTGTGTCTGCACAAAGATTTCACCACTATAATCAAATCATAAGTGCTGGTATCTTGCTGTTGGTTCCTAGGAACTGAACTGCTTGACCCTCATACGACAGAAGAGCCACATTATATATATATATATATATATATATAGTGTAACTCGGATATAAGAGACCCGGATATAAGAGAAACCCGGATATAAGAGAGATTTTCTCTGGTCCCGAATTAGAGTCTGTGTTAATGTATCTAAAATAGACCAAACCCGGATATAAGAGAAACCCGGATATAAGAGACTTCTTCTCCTGTCCCGACAACTCTCTTATATCCGGGTTACACTATATATATATATATATATATATATATATATATATATATATATATATATAGTGTAATGGGGTAGCAGATCATTAAATTAAATTATTAAAGCATATATTTTTAAGAATAACAAATAACGAATGTCTATTAGTAATGGCTTTAGTTTTGGGAGAAAATAAAGACAAAAATTGTCCAGCAGTTGGATCTTTTTTTTATTATGCAGTTCCTTGATCTAATCTTTAGACTCCTGAAATTGAAGCCACTATACAAAGCTTAGAACAGCTCATGATCAAACATAATAGACATTCATTGTCTGTTATAGTTAAAAATATATGTTTTAATAATAATCTCCTGACCTAATATACTATCTATCTATCTATCTATCTATCAATTTAAATATATATATATATATATATATATATATATGCGTCATGGAATATTAATGAATCATGGCTCAGGTTTAGGAGTAGAGAGACCCAAGTTTGAATTCCAGTTGATTTCATTACCTTCACTTACCTGCTAATACCTTTGGGAAATATATAAATCTATATCTTCTCTCCTCTCCCATCTATGGGTAAATAGCAGGACAGAATGGGTTCTATAGCCTTGGATGGCAACCGGCCTAGGTGAAATATAACTCTGAACTGAAAACCTTGCAGAAAGGCTGTTTACGGACCTTGTGGCATACTGTACGCTAGTTCTCTGTATTCGGCTCTGTCAAAAATTCTGGTTGGTTGTTCTGCCCAAGCCTTCACCAATTATATTCAAGACATATATTGTTAAATATAACAGAAAACAAATTTCTATTATGTTTGATCATGAACCGTTCTAAACTTCGTATAGTGGCTTTAATTTCGGGAGAAAATTAAGACAAAAATTGTCCAATATTTGGATATTTTTTATTACGCTATTCCTTGATCTAAACTTTCGGCTGGCATGAGCCATCTTTAGAGTGGCGATATGGATATTTAAACAAACATATTCACCACCAAAGGTGATATTCTGTTATGTTGACATAGAAGAATATCAGACGTAGATCTTAAATTCATGATACAGTTCTATGACGTCATCCCACATGTGAGGCCGAAATATGAATTTACGACCTGCTAAAATCTCCGACTGATTCCAAATCAGTCGGGTCTCAGTCTCTGCTTGAAGCGATCGTATGTCTAGCCACACTGATGAACTGTTATACAGCAAAACAGTCTGTCTGTGAATGACGATATTAGCGCCCGAAAAATAATTAATTCGGTCGAGAACTGTGGAGAGAAAGAGCGAATTTGCAAACAGTGACTATTACTTCGAATAATGCAAGACTCTCCAGCTGGATTGAGTTCTCTAAGTCACTGGCGTGGATATGAAAAAATAATACGCAAAAAATTTACCTTTCTCTCTGCCGGGCGCCGATAGCCGAGGCGTTAGAATCTCCAATTGGTGCATCAGTCGCGTTTTGGTCACGGCTTAAAGCGATCGGATATCTAGTCACATTGATGAGCTCCGATACAGCGAAACAGTCTATATGTGGATAACGATATATATATATATATATATATATATATATATATATATATTATTCAGACTATTATCCTCACTCATCTTTGTCGCCATATTTATTACAAAGTTTCAGCCGTTGTACGCTCCGGCCTTCTTCAGGTGGTTGGAATGTCGAAATAAACCCTTTATCTACTCAGGTAGACTGTTCTAGTTCTGCGTGTCATGTTTAATGGATCTCAGTTATCTCCTGTTAATTCCTCTCTCAAAGTTCTCCACTGCCTTAACCGGGTATTGAACTCAAGGACACATGGGACACTGGATAAAGGCGTTAGTTAGATCCAATGACAGAACCCACAGAGTGTGAGTTCAATACCTGGTCAGGGTATTGAGCACATACTAAGTAGTGCAGTTAATTTTTTATTTATTTAATTTTTCTTTTGTTCCTATAGATTTCTTCTTTTCTTATGTAGAAATTTTCCGAAGGTTCTTGATATATATATATATATATATATATATATATATATATATATATATATATATATATATATATATATATATATATATATATATATATATATATATATATATATATATATATATATATATATATAACTGGAATATGATTGGCTGGTGTCCCTCATAAATACCGACAGATGTGTAGATACGACAGAGTTTTAAGTCTATGCCCATTGACTACGCCATTGGTCTACACCTATTACCTGCGACTACGACGAGTACCAGTCGATTACTGCTATCGTGTACTACTTGGTTACAGTAGCCAAAACCACTTATCTACTTCGATCAAATATATACCTTTCCGGGACATATCAGTTTTGTATGCCTGAGCGCTTTCGGCTATATTTTTGGTATTATCAACTACGATTGAATTTTTACTTTTAAATGAATATATGGATTGTTTTTTGTTAAGCGATTCCGCCCTAAATGACTTCTGGTTTAGCAAAGTTCAAATGACTGCTTATAAACACACACATTCGTCGACCTTTCTCGATAATTCGATTCAGCTCTGAAACGTAACTTAACGTAAACAATGACAACATATTATATGGAATGGATTAAATCCGACAACTATTTCAATAAATTTTCTGTTTCTACGTTATTTTTACGGCATCAACTTATTTGAATAAATACTCTGTTTTAATTAAACAGTATTAATTACATTTACCGACCTGAATATTCGAGAAATCTCGTAGAAAATATGAACTCTCTGACAAGTATAGAACCTGTTAACTCCTGCTGAAACCCTATTTCAGCCACAAAGGACTTCGTCTTTAGCAAAGTTCGAATTGCTGCTTATAAACACACGCATTCAACCTTTCTCGATAATTCATTCCAGCTCTGAAACGTAACCTAACGTAAACAATACTGTACTGTACTGATGCGGCATTCACCCTGGGCGGATTGAGCCGGCTTCTTCCTATTATGAGAAAAAGATTCTTGGGATAAATTACAGAAGTAGGGTACCCAGGCCTACTCGGATAACGTTCTTGCTTGCCGCGCGGTTCCCACAGACGCAGAGACAGGATCGACCAGAAGCCGCCGGTTACCGATGCAGACGCTCCTTGGATTTTCACCAGAGCCCTTGTTAGCCGGCGTGTGTGTCAGACCTGTCCGCCTTGGGTGGCCCTACCAGGAACGAAGTTCCGGACGGCATAGCTCTGACACTACTGTTTACACCCCCCACCGACTGTGAGGTAAGGGTTGGACCTTGGGGGCTTACAGTACCAGGTGTTTCAAAGCGGTCCCCCATCTAAGTACTGACCTGGCTCTACGATGCTTACGGTCAAATCACGCTGAAACACCGGTTCTCGTTCGATCACCGAAGTTAACGTAAACAATGACAACATATTATATGTAATGGATTAAATACGACAAATATTTTAATGTATTTTCTGTTTATTTATTTTCAAATAAGTTAAATCCGTAAGAATAATAAAATTCGTCCTATTAATCCCATATCTGTCGTTTTGAATGCCGGATTTATCTGTAAGTAAATTGTATTACCAAACAGAACAGAATGATTTGATTCGGCACTCTTTTCTCTGTTCCTAACGATTTATTCCTATGTCTTAATACTTTGCTTAGCTTCTGGAAAGCATATTTGGGTCACACTTTATCTCGTCTGTTTCCCATAATGTTCAATTTTTGTGCATACCTGATTCCAATGTGGAGAACTGGAAACACACATCCTTGGAGGCCTCTCGTGTAGATGCGATGTTTCGCCCGGCATAAATTATTTCTTCTCACATAAGGTATTTCATAAAAACTCAAAACTATTAGACACACTTAACAACATTAATTTCCCCACGTCTTCACGCGTCAAATAAAACTAGATGTAAAGAAGTTTAGAAAATATCGCCGAAACCTTTCTGTTATAAACAAAGACATAAAAAAAAAATTCATTAACTTATTCTATCGTAACCAGATGTACCTTAACTTTAAAAAAACATGAAAAGGTGATTAAATATATATAATTTACCCGTACATATCAATTAATGAATGCAATAAATAACTTACATTTGTCGTTAACTTAAACAAAAAATTAGACATCCAATCATTTCCAGTGACACGAGAACTCAAAAATACGCCCTCCAATAATATTAAGAATAATAATGAAAACAAATTCTTAAATTGATCACACAAATGCACCCTTATCTCGTGGGTTAACTTGGCTCTTATCTAAACTTACTGTAATTCGTGAGTATATTGATCATTAGATCACAAACAACCAATGTTCAATGACTGATAAGTATTATAAGATAATAACAAAATACTATATAGTATTCACTGTAAAGAAAAAAAAATAGAAGTACTCAAAGATATTATACAAAAGAAACAAACCGCGCATTAAATAAGATATATTTCGTCACTGGAGATAGTATTTTAAATGTTTACAGATTATTTATACGCTTTAAGATATACTTATATTTAGTGTTTCATAGGTGAAATAGTATGAATTTTAAATGTTTAAAAATGCCAACAATTTCCATATTTATTACATTCACTGAATTAAAAACAGATTTACAAAAATATATAGATAGATAGATCGATAATATTGCTAATATATTTAGATGTTCCCAGAAAAAATCCTTTCATATAGATAATGAAATTTATGATGATAGATAGATTTGGATTTGAAATATAAATCGTTTTATAAATAGCCAACAGATAGATATATATATATATATATATATATATATATATATATAGATAGATAGATAAAACATTCACAGAATAATAATCATATATATATATATATTTATATATATAGAGAGAGATAGATAGAGATGAACGAAACAACAAACTGGGATCAATATATATATAAATATATATATATATATATAGAAGAGAGAGAAAGACAGACAGATAATATATATATATATATATAATATATATATATAGATAGATAGATAGATAGATGACATTCACAGAATTAAAATATATATATTTTTATATATATATATATATATAGAGATAGATACATAGATAGATAGATAGATACATACATACATATCAACGGAATAAATAGATAGATAGATAGATAGATAGATAGATAGAGAGAGATATATAGATAGATAGATAGATAGATAGATAATGAAGAGATAGACAAATAGATAGAAACGAACAAACTAAGATCAATACATAGGTAATGATAGATATGACATTCCCTGAATTACTCAGATACAGCTAGATAGATATGAATGAGAATGAGATAGATAGATAAATAGTTAGATAGATAATTAAAATCTATATAGATAAACAGATGATATAGATAGATAGATAGATAGATAGATAGAAACGATATTCCCAGAATTATTTAAAATTTCCTATTAAAATAGACAGGCAGATTGGTAAAAGAGACAGAGATACATAGATAGATAATGAATATGAACAGAATGAGATAGATAGATAGATAGATAGATAGATAGATAGATAGATAGATTACATTCCCTGAATAAAAATCATAGTTAGATAGATAGAAACGAACAAAATGAGACCAATAGATAGATAGATGACATTAGATAGAATTAAAATCATAGATAGTTATAGGATAGATAGATAGAATAGAATGAGATAGATAATGGAGAAACATACTAGATAGATAGATAGAAGGAAATGAAGATGGATAGATAGATAGATAGATAGATAGATAGATAGATAGATAGATAGATAGATAGATAGATAGATAGATATAAACAAGACTGAGATACGGAGATATGATATGAACAGAATGAGATAGATAGATCATAGATAGACATAGATGAAATGAATGGATAGATAATAGATGACCCAAATTAAAATCTAGATGAGATAGATAGATAGATAGATAGATAGATGAATGAATAGCTATTCCCTGAATAAAAATTAAAATCCTAGAAATAGATGAATAGATGACCCTTGATTAAAATCAGATTATAGGTATAAAACAAACTAACACAGATAGACATAGATGGACTAGATAGATCAAGTCTAAACAAGATAGAAATATTAATGCTGAATAGGATTTGAACGACAACCAATAGATAGACTTATCCTTAAAGATCTTGAAATGCAACCTAATAGAGATGAATTCATTAGATAACTGATGACGCCAAATAGAATATAAGCTTTGTCTGGCAAAATGCGTCTTTCAAAAATTGGTCTCATCATTTACGAGAAAAAATGAATACAAACAAATTTAAAACAAACTAAAATAAAAAAGATAGAAATAAATGCGATTACAAACGACGTCTGAAACACACTCCTAACTTTCATTCAAATTGACCCCTAGAATATAGTAAAAAATGCGATTTCAAAAAAGTCTCATCATTTACTAAAAATATTTTCATAAAATAAAAAAGGTAGCTTAACCCGTCTGCAAAAATTAGATTACCCCTTTAGTAAATGCGATACAAAAAGTCTGTCTTTACTAAAATATTTACACACACACACACACACACAAAATGTGAAGTTAGCTCTTCGTAACAGGGATTTATAACCGATATCGTATGACTGCCATATGTTTCTCTTCACTGACTTGCCATGGTTCGGGGTGGATTGGGTATAATCGTGTACCTGTCCCCCCAAAAATGCCTGCACGAACAACATATCAGCAGACGTTTGTCGCCATTTTCAAACACATATGTAATTTTAAAAGTAAATTTTTGAATATATCTTCATATCATGTTTTTCTCATATATATATATATATATATATATATATATATATATATATATATATATATATATATATATATATATATATATATATATATATATATATATATATATATATATATATATATATATATATATATATATATATATATATATATATATATATTTGGATGAGTTCCACTACGGAATATGTGACCGTGCGGCGCAACATCGTGTCTCCGTTGCTACCGTTAGTACAGTTGGTATGACGTTTGCCTTTCAATGTTGCTGTCCGGGTTTCAATTCTCGGTAGTGTATGCGCACTGCTGATGAGTCCCAAATATAGGTCGAAACGGCCGTCAAGTGCTTTCTGCATTCTGTTGAGGTTTCTTCTTGATCGATGAATTTATTATCTCAAATCCTCCTTAGTTTCTATCATATGTTTGTTTGTATATATATATATATATATGTACAAAAATAGGTAGCTATACTCGTCTCGAAAAACCTTCGAATTTTTGATTTGCCAATAATCAAATCAATCTCGAGGGAAAAAAGGTTTTAAAAAAAGAAAGAGCTACAAACATGAAAGTCTGTTGAAAAAAATCGCACAGATACAGGACTGAAGCCCAAAGAAAAAAACCTGACACGAGTAAACAACTAAACAACTAACAAAAGAGCTCAATACAACCGTAGAGCAGACCTAGATAAACCTAGTGAGCCAGACAAACCCTACCAGGTTTCACCTAAACGGATCGTCAGGGAAAGCTGGCTGACGATACGCTTAGGTAAAACCTGGGTAGATTTGTCTGGCTCACTAGGTTTATCTATCTATCTATCTATCTATATATATATATATATATATATATATATAAACACATATACATTCATATCACGTTTTAGTCAGGATATAAAGCAAAAGACACACATACACACATATATATATATATATGTATGTGCCTGTGTATTAATTAATTCCCCACCGCCACCTAGACAATAATGTCACTTAGGCGCAAATGGATACTAAGAGTAAAAGATAATGAAAAGTTTGGGGGAGGAACCGGAAAACCGTAAATAAGGGATAGACCTCTACTCCTGATCATAAGACAGGGAGGAGTGTGGGTCGGACTGCGTTTCTATTCCAATTGAGGAGAAAAATACAATTTTAGAATTTAGACGGAGACATTAGAAGTACAGGTTTTAATAAGACTTCAAAAGGAACCGGAAACCAAATCCTGAACAGAAGCTATGGGATAAGTATGCTTAAATGATCGAGGAGAAGTGTGAACAGGACGATTTGAGGGCCTAATCTCCCAGTTAGTGTGTAAGCTCAGAAAAAATCGCGTTTTTTCCCTTATGGGAAACGCTATGAAACGTCATCTCACACACACACACACACACACACACACACACACACACACACACACACACACGTACATACGAACATCGAACATCTGTGAACATCTTTGAACATCTGTGAACATCTGTGAACATCTGTGAACATTCATTCCTTCAACCACAAGGACACAGTAACTTATCAACTTCTAAGAGTAAGATTTTCATCAGCAAACAGGACGTCGCCACAGCACGAATAATTTTCAACACTCTCACTCATTTCATTTTAACCGATTTCATCCCTCTTCGATGAACGAATTTGAGCTGCAAGTATATTTATGCTGATTTTTTAACTTGGAAGTGTTAAACTAAACGAAATTACATTTTTAGTACAAATTACTACTTCTCCATTTTCAAGCGAAGAATTTTTCTCTCACTTAAGTTTCTTTGAACTCATCTTATGCCAAACGTCTCAATCTACAAGACCTTCTTGTCGAAAAACATGTCTTTCATTAAGATTGATTATTATTTCATGAACTGAAATCTTTTCCTCGAGTTCAGTTAAAAAAAACAATCAAACACTTTTCCTTAAAAGCGTTAAGCAATTCAAACAGTTAAAGGTATATAACTCTTGCTATAATTAAACATTGAACTTTCAACTATAAAAACACTTAACCTAACATTGTGAGTAACGAACTGTTTAATTCTCTTACAAGTAACAATACATCTTACTAAAATTATCCGAAATCTCACGCTTTTTAATACAATTCACAGTCTTTCAACTGGAACATTTTCCTCTCTTAAATTCTCAAGGACAAGTAAATTTCAGCATTTCAAACACAACTAAATTACTATTTTGTACAATTGTTGTTATGTATATATAAATTTCATTTTTTGTGTGCAACTTTTCTTGTCGAATTGTATTCTTATTGCTTATCTATTCTTTGTTAGCACATTTGTAAAGCAAAAAAAAATATTACGGATTGAATCGAGGCCGTTCAGCCCGCTACAAGATCATCAGAAGGAGAGATAACGATTGACCTTTGCATTGAAAAGGGTCTTACAGATTACAGACTTAAAGATTAAATTCTTAAAGATTAAATTCTTAAAGATTAAATTTGTCAATAAACCATGTACGCGGGAGCTTGTTCTCCAAAGAAACAATTTTTGCAAACCGATGTTTGAATTTAACTTTCTCCTTACATTTGGAATACGCGGTAAATGTTGATGATTCGACTCCGTGGGAATGTTATGGTGATGTACAAGCTGTAAAAGCCTTAAGTTGTGGAAATAAAGAGTTTCATATTTTGTGGTATTTTGCTTAAATATAAATTAGTGCTCTGCCCCTAAAAGTGATACTATTGATATCATTATAAGGATCACATACAATAATCTATCTCTTCCTCAACTTAAAATTAAACTTAGTATACTAATGTTAACTTCCACTACTGAAGTCCCATTCTACGATCACGAAAATAATATATAAATACAATGAGAACATGATTCAATGGGTTCACTTCTGGGCCCAACTCTTGGCAATTTCTATATGTCTAGCCTTGAAAACAATATATTTAACAATTAAAAAAAAAAAACTCCATCTACCCAGGATATGTTGATGATATCCTTATATCCGTTAAGAATATGGGAGAAATATATCAACTCCAAATCAATTCCAAAAGAATTTTCTCCTTAAATTTACATACGGACTTAATAATAGCAATAGAATTTCCTTTTCTAGATATATTGATAAAAACTAATAATATTAAATTCCCTATCATCACATTTAAGAAACCTATTAACATAAATTCTCGCACTCTTAACTACAAGAGTGAATATCCAAATTAATATAAAATAGCAATTATGAAAAAAAAAAAAACCTTAAATTTAAATATCCATTGGGAGATTGTATCTCCAACAGAAAAAAAAATTATATATATATGTTAGTCATTCTACTACGTTATCTCGACGGTTTAGTTTTCATTTGAATGATACATCAAACATATCACAACATTTACAACAGCATGCCTCGCCACATTCGCAATTTAGGAAAATTCTTGTTGAAAATATATCTATACATTTTCATGAAAATAATAAATATAAACTAAAGATACTTGAAGCTGTATACATTAAAAAATTGAAACCAACAATTAATAAATTAATTATGAATATTGCACTAATGTTTACAGTAGACAGTTTAAAATATCTTGGTTTTGGTATGACCATATTGAAAATAAAAACTGTTAGTTAAAATAGTTTTTATTTTAAATATGGTCATTCCAAAACTTATAAACACCCCTAACGTTTACATCGTGAAATTTAAATCGTACAGAACAGTTATTATATTTCAACCTCGAAAAGTACATTGCCACAAGCAGTCAGTTCAAAGAATAATTAGACAGTTTTTATATAATTTATTATCTGAAATGAAAAGAAATGTTAGATCACATGAGAAATTCTATAAAAAACTAAATCAAAGCACCTTGTCTGTCATATTCAATGAAATGTGCATGAAAGAAGGATTGCTGCCTGAATACACCAATTTTACACACACACACACACATATATATATATATATATATATATATATATATATATATATATATATATATATATATAATATATATATATTTATATAATTTTTATATGCATTGCATTACATTACTATATATTTAAATTAATGCTATGAACGTTTGAATTTATGTTCTTTTCGTTCTCGTTACATTTGAATACATACATACACACACACACATATATATATATATATATATATATATATATATGTGTGTGTGTGTGTGTCTGTATTAATGTATACACATATCCCACATTGTTTGCACTATTCGCACACCCAGTACCTCAGTGTGGCTAGACGTCAGATTGCTTCAAGCCGGGATCGAAACACATCTGATTTGACATCAGTCAGATATCTTACCCCTAGGCCATCGTCGTACAGCAAAAACGAAGGAATTTTAACGTCTCCCTCTATACGGAATACGTCAGCGACTTGGAGAACTCAATTCAATTTACTTGAAAAGTATATATATATATATATATATATATATAT